TTAATTAGTTCAAGATGATCATTGTCACTCGAGTGTTCCACATCCACCAAATTACATGCATTATCATCATCCTCATCCAGATCCCGAATACTAACCTTGACCCGATTTCCATCATTATCAGTATTCCCAATTACATTTTTGAACACATTACTAGCATCCTCATTCTCATCCAGATCTCTATCACCAACCTCAACCCAATTCATGTCATCAGGATTTCCGATTACATTTTCGAACACTATACAGTCACATTATGAACTCTTTCTACATCCACATCATAAAGACCTTCATTTTCTATCTCAGCAAATGTCTCTTCATCATCAACATACTCCACATATAGTTCGATAATTTCATAATATACATGATCATAGAAGAGATCTATCACAACAGAGTTATCCCATAAATATCTAAGACAATTTTCAACAACACTACTTGTAGGAACTCTGTAATAGAGTTTCTCTATTTTGCACCCACCCAAAGCTTCAATAACTCCAGTTATATTAGACAACGAACGCTTGCTTACGTCTATTTTGACAACATTGACCCTTCCACCTATGTATTTCAAGGGTGGTCCAACTTGAAATTTACCTCCAAAGAAAACAGTAGCAGGGACTTTGTTGTTGGCCATTGGACCTGCAAGGGGACAAAAATAAATAGCATTTTAGTTTTGAATAAGGAATTGAGAAGAACAAGAGATTTCATCTATGCTATCTCTTTTTTATACTAATCTTTTGGATTCTGATCCTGGACAACTTCACAAATTTAGCCACACGAAAGTTGCATTTTCCATCTAGCAATGTAAGCTACAAAATTAGACACTAATATTTTGGATTCAAATCTTGTACAACTTTACAAATTTAGCTACACAACAGTTGCATTTCCATCAAGCAATATAAGCTACAAAATTGGACACTAATCTTTTGTATTCAAATCCTAGGCAGCTTTACAAAATTAGCTACACGAAAGTTGCATTTCCATCGAGCAATATAAGCTACAAAATTAGACACTGATCTTTTGGATTCAAATCGTCGACAACTTTACTGAATTAGCTACAAAATGAGCAGTCTGTGACCGGTCGGCTTCAATCCTCTACTAAGCCAATGTTTGACAAAGATATTCTCCAATTTCCTTACCTGCAAATTTGTCTCCGAAATAAAAAAGAAGCAGCAACGAGAAGGATTTGACACCAACCTTTGATTTGCCACCGCGACACCGCAAAATGAGAATAAACAACTTGCGCAGACTCGCTCCAGTGATATGACTTGCACGAATGAGAAGAAATTGAATGTCGACCTCCGACTTGCATGAATGACAATTTAGGGTTTGCACGAGTCACGATTTGCACGGACACGCTTCCGCAGGATGACTTGCACGCAACGAGAAGAGATTTGACGCCGGCCTTCGATTTGCCACCACGAGGGATGACTCGCATGGACTAGCGATCGACGAAGAAGATATCTCAGAGCTTCGATCTAGGGCTTGCACGGACTCATGGTCAACGAAGAAGATACCTCATAGCTTCGATTTAGGGCTCGCATGGACTCGCGATCGACAAAGATGATACCTCATAGCTTCGATTTGGGGTTCGCACGAACACGCCTGTGATTTAAGGCTCAAAACTTGGAATTTGGGAAGACAGGGAACAAAGAGGACAAAGAAGACGAAGAGAGATGGCAGGTTTGGGGCAAGAGGAGAATGACGCTGATTTTGGTCTGTAAATGGTCCAAAATGACGACGTTTTGCATACGTGGAATATGGGCTTTAAATATTTTGCCACGTAGGAGCGAGAAATTGTTAAAATAAGTCACGTCAGCATTTTCCGTTAGCCTAATTGGACGGAGCTAACGGAAGGACTTGATTGCACCAACTTGACAAGTTTTAGGACTCAATTGCACTTTTATGACAAGTTTTAGGACTCGATTGCACTTTTTACAAGTTTTAGGACTCAATTGCACTTTCGTGACAAGTTTTAGGACTCAATTGCACTTTTGTGATAAATTTTAGGACTTCTGGTGCATTTATCCCATTTGGTTAATACTCCTTGTTCACTAATTTCACTGACATTATGTATAGAAATGGAACGGCATGGTTGCTTGATAGATAATCCTTGGACAACAAGGCATCCGTTGCATCACTAAAAATCAACAAGAACTCCCTAAATACTTCAGCAACCTTCCAGTCTTGTTATGTTAACGCCAGGAGCTGTGCTATGAGTGGTGGATTACAACATTAGCAGGTCAATTTCCTTGCATGCCTTCTTTAACATCTTATACGTGGAATTCCACCTTGTTTTTACATTCAAAGGGAAATTCTCAACTTGCCCTCCTTGTGTCATGAAGAGGACCTCCAACTCTTGACGCTTAGATGGGTGGATCTAATATGTTGACCCACGTATAACAAATACTGAATCATAAAACTAACAAAGATCGTCTTGCACGCATATATAAATGCAGTGGCGCACGCACCATATATGGAAAAAAAATTCCATTGCAAATAGGTTTTAGCTATTGGATCAACCTATGATTAGGGAGGAGTTAAAGCATGCATTATTTAAGATGATGTTGAAAAATTTATTGAAATTGCCAAACTCATCGACAACTCTCATTATTTCGGCGGCCATATTTCGGAAATCATACGGTACAAGTAACTTCTAAATCTTTGTAATGGGAAAAGAAACAGATGTTATTAACCAACGATTTAAAAAAGAAAGAGGGTTAGGAAGTGGTATTTAATTGAGGATTGAGAAATGATGAAAATGAGAGGGAAGGTGGGCCAATTCATAGGGGGATGATTTTTTGGGGAAAATTACCAAAACAGTCTTAAACCTATTGTAATTGTGCCAATTTAGTCATAAACCTTTTTTTGTGCCAATTCAACCATAAACATTTTGCATTTATACCAATTCAGTTCGTCCGGTCAATTTTGGCCGGCCGACGCTGACATAAACGCTGATGTAAACGCTAGCTAGCAAGCCAACGCTAACATGGCAAATTTTAATTTTTGTTATTTATATTTTTTTTTTCTTTCCTTTCCTTTTTCCTTTTCTTTTTTCCTTTCCTTTTCTTATTCCCTTTCTTTTCTTTTTTTTCCCTCTTTCCCTTCATCTTCAACCTCTAGTTGGTCACCGGACGAGCAACCAGCTAAAGGCAGGGGCCAGCAAGGTCCGCCTCTCCAACTGCTGGCGAGCCTCACCTGCCCCTAACGAGGCTCGACCTCCCGAGTGACGACGAGGACGAGCCTCGCGCCCAGCTACTAGCGTCGGCGAGTTCGAGCCTCATCGTCGCTCGCGAGGGTGAGCCTCGTCATGCATTTGGTGAGTCGAGCCTCACCCAGCCCATCGCCCGCGAGGTCGAGCCTCGCCAGTAGCCGGTAGGGCCGACCTGGCCGACTCTCGCCTCTAGCCAATCGCCGGTTAAGATGAAGGGAAAGAGAAAAAAAAATGAAAGGGAAAAAGAAAAGAAAAGAAAAGAAAAAATTTAATGAAAAAATTCAAAAAAAAATATTTAACAATTGCCATGACAGTGTTGGCCAGCTGGCCGGCGTCCATGTCAGCTCCAACCAGCCAAAATTGGCCGCATGAACTGAATTAGCACAATTGTAAAAGGTTTAGAATTGAATTAATACAAAAAAAAATTATGACTAAATTGGCGCAATTGCAGTAGGTGTAAGACTATTTTAGTAATTTTCACTATTTTTGGTACTCAAAGACCCTAGCCCCAAAAAGCTTGAATGATTAGGCCCATATGGCCTTGGATGGGCCCATCAATAGGGCCTGTGCCTGGGCACTGTCCGTCAGACTAACAGGCGATGCGTAGTTGGACACTCCTCCATGCCTATAACTATAATTTCACACTCGACCATTCAAATCAATATTTCCTACATGAGTCCGTACGAATCGTGGAGGGATCGTAGTAATGACTCGGTTATCTTGTGACGGAGTTCTGCAAGTTTCACTTGCAGCTCATAGGCCTCATCAGAAAACATCCGATAAAATTAGAATAATAACACCTACGATAGTAAAGAGAATACATGTATGTTGTCGCTCAGCACGTGCCATGACACGACGAGCATAATCGGACGACCCAACATCCTGCTGCTGCTCTAACTAGGTTGTAAGATGTTGTGACTCAAAATCAAGAGCGGGTTCCGCACTAGGTTTCGGATCACCCGCAAAGGCTTTGTCCCTTCTTTTCGGCACATACCAAAGCTAATGAAGAGAGACGCTTTTACATCATCTCCCCCTTTTAACTTCCATAGAACATGGATTCTCCATTTATGCTTTGAGTTAATTTGGTGGTCTGGAACATGGTTATCAATACAATGTTGGGTCTCCCCTGAGCTTCTCTCCCCCACCATCAGGCGTGGCCTCCTCATTTCTGACTCCAAAAAGTCCTAATGAGGCGAGACGAGACGAGGCGAGCAACTAAAATGATGGCTTGACCCACACGGATCAAGCCACATCGTCACAATCCCTAGCAGCAATACCACAATAGAGAGGCGAGAAGACAGCACAGCAGAGGAAAGACAAAATAGAAGTCCAATTTGAAGACACATCCCCATTAACAGCTCTTCATTTGATAAAAAGCCATCCACATAGACTTTAGCGTTTCAATGGACGGCGAATCTCAGATCCAAGATCTCCACCAAGCATGGGCTCTTAGTCAACGCAATGTACTCTGTGCATGCAGGCAATTCGCCGAATCACAAAACAGCGCCAATGTCCGAACCGGCATGACATGATTCTCTATCATAACGTTAGCAACTACCACCAAGACGGAATTAGAATCCATGGCCCCTTATCATCACAGGCTGAATTCCAAAATAAAAATAAAGACACATGTTTCTAAGAATATTTATTGATCTACCAATGTACTCCAGACAAGTATCGTGGTTCAGAAGAAAATAACATCTGTGTCTGACCCTGACCATACTGGACGTATGTGAAGAGTGGGGGTGGGAGAGGGGGTGGAGGCAGAAGAAAACCACACAGGTTGGACAATCAGTTGCAGATAAATTACTGGCATAACCAAGTCAATAACATTAACATTCTCAAGAGGTACTCGTGCTGATTTTGTTTTTCCTTTAAGAGTTCAAATAAACCATGTCGACATACCCCTAGTGTAGACCAGGGCAGAACAGCGTCCAAAGGGCAATAGCCAACAGAACATATCCAAAAAAATTCTCAGTAACACCTAACTCGGAGCATGAAAATGAAAGAGAAGTTTGCAATTACACATCCAAACAAAACTTTAAGCATAACCTCCTCCGATTGTTGTTGACATGACTCCCACTCAATCAGCGGTACTGCAAGAAACAAATCGTGACAATAAAACTTCTCTCCGCAGCAAAAAGATGCAGCAAAGATTGAAACTCGAAAAGTTTTCTAAGACAAAAATGTGAGATAAAGTAGATTTTCTTCCATAAATTTTGGCCACTTCAACCATTCGGATAAAAAAAGGGGCTTTGATAAATACTGTAATTATCTATCAAACCATATTTGCCTTCTAATCATGAGTTACCCTTTTATAACAACAATGACAAAAAAAACCTGTACAACAAAAACAAAGGCAAAAAGCCACAAAAAAAACCCCAAACTATGCCCTAAGTGACACATTTTAGGGCGAACTTTTTCTTGTGACTTTAAAAATCCCAAATTATGCCCACTGTGACACATTTACTCTAATTTTTTTCTTGTGACATAAAAAACCCCAAATTTGTACTTATGTGACACATTTACCCTCCCTCCGTCAAAATTCCATTAGATGATTTTTCAACCAAAGCGTCATTTTCATTTTACTTAAGTCATGTGGATATCATGTCAACACTGTTTGCTTTCTAGCGTTCATGTAGGGCAAATTTTTAACGGTTCGCGTTAAGAGAATTTTGACGGAGGGTAAACAGGTCACACAGGTACAAGTTTGGATTTTTGGTATCATTGAAAAAAGTTTAGGGTAAATGTGTAACTGTAAACATAGTTTAGCGTTTTTAGTGGCTTTTGCCCAAAAACAAGAAGCATAACATTCATAACCGATTAAGTAGATGGATATTTTTCTTTTTTGGCCAACAAAGTAGAGGGACTAACGTCAGACAAAATGAGGTGAAAGGATCAAAGTTTGGCGCCTGGTGAACTAACATCAATCAGGGGAGTTTAACAAAAGTTCACCTTAATGAAGCCAATTTCCTTAGCATTGCTACGGAAGCACTGCCTACAGCACATCAGTCCATACTTCCGGATCAAACCATGAGGGTTTCCACATACCCGGCTGCCAACAAAACAAAACCAAAAGTTGAGAATAAATGCCTACAATGAAAGAAGAAAGGAAAGCCAGCAGTTTTGGCTTTTCTTTTCTTCCCAGAAAATGAACAATCGACTTTATAAATAAAGAAACTGAAGAAACATCAGCGATTAAATCCGCAGAACAAGATTGTGGGCAGCATAGGTCTTCGGTCAATAGAAATATGAAATGACAAAACAAATCATAAAGCAGAGTCTCATTGTAAAACTTCATAGACAGTATGCACTAATATCAAGCTACAAAAGTCTCCAAGACACAGTCAATGCACGAATCTGTTCATTCTACACCGCCCTTAGCCTGATCCTTTCACACTAAAATGCTCCACCTCCTCCTCTTCCGTTTGCTTGGAGATATTTTCTCTGAGGAGGCAGCCCCATATCACGAAGTCACGGGGCCCGTTTCGCCGAGTTCCTTCGAGAGAGTGCTGTCACTCGCCCCTAGGTATTCCCTACCGACCGAATCTTAGCAGTGTCTAAACAATCCCAAGTATCTCCTAGAAAAACCCTTAAAAGGCACAACAACAACAGGAGGACCCATCACATCAACCAGCCATTACACCAGCGTTGTAGTCAATTAGCCGACCACCCAAATCGAGCAAAACGATAAAGGAGCCGAGATCGCGCATGAACAGCGATCGAAATGGCGAGAACCGACCAAATTGTCACCCAAGTTCGAAGCTTCACGATCGATCTGACCAAAGCTCGAGACGCGGATTGCGCAGAGGAACGGCGAAAGAAGGAAGGAAGGATGAAGCGAAGTGCGTACCAAGTGCGAGAGCCAGGGCCGTAGGTCTTGGGATGAGAGTTCCACACGTTGGAGTGACCCATCTTCTTCTTCTTCTCCTTCTTCCTCCTTCTTCCTCCTCTGAGCTCGCCGCGCAGTTACGATCGCTTCCGCTCTTCGTCAGGGAAGCTGAGGAAAACCCTAAAAAGCTGCTTTTATACGCTCCCACGTCCCCCAAAAACGCCGCGTTTTGGGATGCGCACGGGGACTTCCGCCAGAAGGCGGCGGGGTACTCAACAGTTTCTCAAGCCCTCTTCACGAGCCCACGAAAAATTAGCTGCGGCCCATTAAGCTTGGGAATCGGGCCCACTGCTTAGAGAAGCGATGTCTATTTGGGCCGAGAAATAATCTCAGAGCATCATCATTTGCAAGCTGGTGAAGACGCGGGGGGCGGGGGAGGAGGATCAAAGTCCCAAATCAAACGACACATCTTCATCCTAGTATGCAAGCTAACCCAACCAGCACGGACTTTTTGCTGGTGTAACTACAGTTGTCACGAAAGTATAATTAAGTTCTAAAATTTACAAAAAAAAAAAGTATAATTGAGTCCTAAAACTTGTCAAATTGATGCAATTGAGTCATTCCGTTAACTTTGTCCAACTTGATTAACGAATAATACTGACGGTGCTTAATTTAATGTTTTATCTCTTAGGCGATGATATGGCTAAAACGATGTCTTTTTTTAATCCAAATTTGATTTTTGATACAAAATTTATTTAAATTAAATTAAAAAATAAAGCTATTTTTATTTTTTTAAAAAAGAAAATAAGACGGTGGTGAGAAACTAGGTAGCAAAGGTTGCAAGTCCTCCTCACCGCCTCCCCACGATAGCCAGGAAGTGCTGGTGAGGGTGGCGAATGGCTGCCCTCGCTTGCGGTCAGCGAGGGTCGCGGACCACTGGTCGAGGCTCGCGCAACCCCCTCCAACCATCCCTACCCTTGCTGACCCTTCCGAGCAATGGTGGGGCGGCAGTAGCGAGGGGTTGATTTCTCACTATGTCCTTTCTTTTTACTTTATTATTTACCTTATTTTTAATTGAATTTAAATAAAATTTATATTAAAAATCAGATTTGAATCAAAACGACGTTTTTGTCATATTATTGCTACAAGCCACATCCGCATTTTCCTTCAACCAAGTTGGATAGAGTTAATAGAATGACTCGATTGCACTTACCTTATTTTTTTATTTGGAGTTAATGGAATAACTCAATTTCTCACCCTGTCCTTTTTTTATTATATAATTTACCTTATATTTTAATTGAATTTAAATAAAATTTGTATTAAAATCAAATTTTGACCAAAACGACCTTGTTTTAGCTACATCATTGCCACAAGTCATGTCTGCATTTTCCTTCAGCCAAATTGGATGGAGTTAATGAAATGACACGATTGCACCAATTTGATAAGTTTTAGGATTTGATTTATAGGTTTTAGTACTCAATTGCACTTTCGTGATAAATTTTAGAACTTCAAGTGTACTTATCCCAATGTTTGCTTCTAGAGGAACAAAACTAAACTGTAAATCTTGAAATTCCTTCTGAACAGCAACCGCATCATCTGGGACTTTTGAATGCTTCCAATCACGACGTTGAGGTGAACCAGTGATATCCTTACGAACAGCAGCTACGTCAACTTCAGTGATCACCTCCGGCCGCTTCTATTCCTTTGCTCATTCCATAGAGGAGAAAGAGCTGCAGTTAGGAATGGCTGATGATGGGGACAACAAATCTGGTACGAGATGGAGAGAGTGGACAACAAATCTGGTACAACAAAGCTGAGGTGTTGCTTTCTTTAGCCGGTGCCGTATTTGAACATAGAAATCGCCATTGTTTCTGATGGCCAACCAACAGCTCGAAGAATCTTTGGCTTTCCTAGTACCAGACAATTGTCCTAATTGCTTCTCCAAGGCAAAGAGAAAAGCTCTGTATCTGAACTAAACCATAACTTATATATGTCATATGAGCCGACAAGCTGTGATTGCTCCGGCATAATACGTTAATCCGTCTTAGTGGGCATGTATTTCATCACGTAGTTAGCCAGCTATGATGCATTTATTAGCAAGATGAGAAAAGGGCATGCTTCATTTCGAAAACATGAAAAATACATGCATCTTTTCCATAAGAACACATTTTTATAACTCGAACATAATTCCCATCACCTCTCCAACTAAACTGCAATCCAAAAAACATCGATGGAATTTCATTAAACTCGATCTGATTACAATTATCCATCAGAATTAAATCAGAATTATTCAGGAAGGTTTAGAGCTATTGAGTTTCATGCAATTAAGCATGCAAATACCAAAACAACCACACTGCCTCAGAAATTAAATAATAAAAAGTACAGCAACCTCTAGTTGCTACAACTGTTCTGTGCTACTTTTGGACATGGGTTCATCGTCCTTCTCGATCAGTCCAGAGGGGAACCAAGCCTCCATGTTGCTCATATCATCAGAGACCAAGGTTATCAAAGACCACAGGACCAACATGTGCTTGATTCTTGATGATAACAACGATACAACAGCTCTTGAAATTTGACAAGGTTGGATGCTGAAACTCAACAAAATTTTCTTTCTAAATTGATAAAAGTACATAGTTACATTTGAATAGAAATGACGTATCATGACTAAATGAATCTTACACCCCAGCCATTCATGGAGATTGATTGTGCTGTCAACGAGGATTGAACTTGGGACAAACTAATCCTTTCCTTTCTTCAATTTCCCAAGTTGGAGAAAAACAATGTATACAGTTGGAGTTTGCCAATCCCATCTTCAGTCCGAACTCGCTTTTTTCAAGCTTGCCATGTATGTTAAATAAATGGTCCACACATATGAACAAGAACTGTTCACCAATGGCTGCCAACAATATGAAAAGAAGTGTTAATAGCTCACTCTCCCCTCAGCCATTGCCATGATCAGAACACATGAGTGATAGAAATCACATGTTATTTTAGGTGGGACAAAGAAAATAGACTGATTATTCCTAAGCAAAAAGTAACTTTTCCTAACAATCGGATCAGGTCCTACGAAAATTATAATGAGTACCCTGCAAATGACATTAGTTGGAGTAGTTTATTTTCCTTGGATGTCAGCAATGTAAACTTCCAGCATGCTTAAAGCAACCAAACATACCTGTAAATGCACAGGGACGAACTTAAATGTGAACAAATCACAAATAGGCCAAAAGAAAACGCCATTTCTAAAGGTCGGCAGTAGATCTCGCTTCAATCTGCCAACAATATCACCAAAAGTTTCACCTGCATCATTCAGAAACTAAGTTCGTTGATAAAGAAGCATTTCCTGCTTAGGTACATTATCTCACAGGAAATTTAACGTCACTTGATACATCCTTTGAAGATATATATGCCAATTAGTAGCCATTTGGCACAACTGAGAACTGTGGGCTCAATCATCAGGGAAAAATCTTGTAACCAATGCAGAAGGACACGCGTGCAGGCACACAGAAAGAGAGGTTCAAACTAATGCTAATTACCCAATGGCAGCAAAGGAAAGGTATCCTGTTGCTCATTTTAGTCGCTCAAACTTTCAATTGATATTGTGAAAAGGGAAGAAACTAAAGATAATACAAGTCAAAGTCTCTGAGCTGCATCACTGGCACCACATCACATCCCCCTCAAATCAAGAACTATAGCTAAGTTAACACACTCCAAAAAACACTCATATGCAAATCAGTCCCATAAATCCTTTTCTTTAATGGATTCTAGCATTTTTAGTGATAAGTGGTGATCATCAAACCAACCACAATTGGGATCTTCTCAAAGAGCTATTCGTTAGTACTCTTAGGATATCGTGGCAAAGAACTGCAGGGCAGAAGTTAATGATTCTTGACCGTGCCCATCAGTCAAATAGAGCAGAATGTCCGAAGTACATCAAGACCATCATTACCCATCAGCCTATTAAGACTTGCGCATTTGTCAAAGAGCCAGCATCAACACTATAATCAATGGTACATGAGTGGTATAACCAACTTTTCCTATGAGGAATAGAAGAATACTTTGCCACAACAGAGAAACTGACTCGGGGGAATATTAATATAGGATACTGCATCCACTCGACAACTTGAAAAGCTAAAATTTTAAAAATGAACCAGCAATAAGTCCCTCAATCATCCAAAAGAGGCATATAAAATGTGAAACGAATGAGGAACAGGCTTTGCGGCAAGTCAACTATCCAACCAATCAGTTGGCTTTACCTCAGAAAAGAGAAGACCAAAGAACCATCTCTTACCTTCGCAAAGATATCTATAAGTATTTTGTTGTGTTAAATTTAGTTAAATTTCTTGGCTCAGAAGTGAATACCACTTGTCAATAGTTTGCAATATAACAATCACTCATCACGTACAGAATAAAGCCAAAATTGCCATTATAGTTTTGGTATGTGAAAGACAAAGGGCTTGTGAGAAGAAAAATGATCGCTAAAGCATCTCATCACCTTGTAGAGCCGCATTGTACGAGAAGAAGACCGTGGTGATGCAAGGTCCATATAACGCCTGCCCCATTAATATTTTCTTCAGGGTAGTAACCATATCTCGCTTCGGTAGGACTCTCGACACAGAGTTGAACCACGTGTGCTGGCTAGGACCCAAGATAATCAATCCATATGCGGCCATACGCAGCGTTCTTATCGGGTCCAAAGAACCGGAAGGCGGCAATGTAATCATCTAAAAGAATTCGATAAAAAGCTGTCAGCAAAATCATATTAATCGAATCATCAAACGAGAAGCTTCACAGCCAATGATAAATGCGACGAGGCAAGCGAGTGAATCTATGTAGACCAGTATATACATGTGTACTGTTCGCAGTAGTAATCAGAAAACAGAAGTTGGGTTACACAGAAAGTTAACATGTCCATACTCTAGATCGACGAATCTATGCTCGGCATTATGAGCGGATGTTATTCAAAGTCCTGCCAAACAAATCATTCACCTTACAGTAGCCTCTTACCATACACTAGCTAAAATTTAGAAAGCGAGTTCAACTTCAACGGTCTCAAAAACATTCAAACCCTCCGGACCATAAAAGCTAGGGTCTTTCCGTGCAGAAAACACGCTCAAAGTCGCAACCGACACTGTTTCAGCGCTTACCTGGGAAGTCAAATCGGCGGCGGCGTAAATGAGCGAGGACGTGACGCACTTGGTGACGACGGGCCGAGCCTCGAGCGCGCCCAAGTACCAGGCGAGGAACCCATTCTTCCCCGGCCGGGAAAGAGGGACGGAGCGCGAGAGAGGGGTCTCGAGGGAAGAGATCGAGCTTCTGGCGCCCCCGCCGTTGCCGGTCCCGTTCCGCGAGCTGGCGTAGGCCCTGCGCCGCTGCGACCTCGCCGCGAGCGACGGGGATTCGAGGGAGACGGCGGCGAGATCGGCGAGCGGGGCGGAGAGCGTCGTCGAACGCCGGCGGAGTTGCTTCAGCACGGAGCTCGTCGCCATTTTTCCTTTCCTCCTCGAAGTTTGGAGGGGGTAACTTTCCTTGGCGTGGTAAGGCACGCTCGTGTTTATAGAAGCAGGAGGGGGTTCAGCGGAAGGACCGGAATCGAACCGGACCGGTTTCGGGTCAAAGCCCTTTTCGAACCCGGTTGAACCGGGCCCATCCGAAGCATTCGCCCGGCCTATTTAAGCCCCTTTCTTCTTCCCTCCCCCGTCTTTCTCCATTTGCTCCGATGGCAATGCCCTCAAATCAAGAATAGACGCTGTCTGTCTCGGTCGCTCTCTGGCTCTCGTCAAGAAGCTTCGACGCTTTCGTTTCATGGCCGAGCTCTTCTCGTCTCCGTCTCGCTCCGAATGTTCTCCGAAGCACCGGCGCCATCTGCTCCGATGGCAGTGCCCTCAAATCAAGAATAGACGGAGCTGGGAGCTGCTGTGGACGATCGCGCGAGGAATCGAACTGCGCGGTCTCCATTAGGAAGCTTAAGGGCTAGGGTTTTGCTGGAATAGCTTGTTCGCGGGAACGTTCCGTGGCGCACGCAGCGTCGTTACGCTTGATCTGTGGCGACGGCTTTCTTGGTTTGCTCTCTGGCTGCTGAGTTTGTAGCTCGTAACGAGGGGAGATGCTTGCGACTGTCTAATAGTCGACCTCGACCTATGCGACCCGCTACTTGTTCGATTCTGTAGCTTTCTCTGCAAAAGGTAGGTACTTTGGGTCGGTGGCCGTTGAAATTGGGCAAATAAAAGTCACTGAAGGAGCGCTGGACGCTATGGATCCTACGATAATGAAGCTCCTCGAAGAAGATGAGGTGTTTGTTGTTTTGTTCATTTTACCGTATTCGTATGGTAAAACTTCTGCTCTCGCCGTGGATTTTGGCTGGGGATTTCTCATTTTGGTTAATTTTGTGTCTACAGGACGAAAGCATGCACTCAGGGGCTGACGTGGAGGCTTTCCAGGCTGCCCTCAATCGGGATATTGGAGGCGATACTTCGGCTTCTCAAGCATCGTCATCCAATAAAGGTGTTGTTGGCATTAAGTTTTTTGCTTTCTAGGAATTAAGAATTTTTCATGGTAGTTTTGATGCAGACTGTTAGGTTATCAGGACGTTGTTTTACATCGTGTTTATGTGATGATGACTAGCTTATGTGTTGTATGTAATGAAGTTAGTGCAGGGATGATACATAACACTTTTTATCCTGTTACAACACATTGATCTTATCTAGCCTTGTATTTAACAAGTCAAATTTATCAATTTGTCGGATCGGAATGGCAAGAAAGATGTGCCATGGCTTTCAAGTTCACTGCTTTGTGTCACCTTATTTTAAGTAACGTTGATGTCATTATAGCTAAATGTTTGGACTTAACATGCCTTGTTTGACTTAGCTGGGGCTTTAGATTAAATTTTGAAAATTAAGTCAAGCGACATCATTGAGCCTGCAGTCTCTAAGCTGATTCCTGAGAACTACTGTTGACCTGTAGATCGAGTAATTGGGTCCTTAGTCACAACTATTGAGTTTATGTGGAACCAGAGTCAGGCCTCTCAGATGTTGGGTGTGTGGATAAGATAGAAGCAAGTGATTTTCAGTCTGATGGGCTAGTTCTGGTTAATTTCATCTGTGTTGTAGAATAGTGGTAGATCAGTGGTGACTTCAAATCTCGTATCACTGGAAAAATGACAGATTATGGATTCCCGACCGCGAGATTGAAGGGAAATTAGGCTGTTGAAGATTCTGATGGATCCAACTATGTCTGTCTCAAGCTATGATATTTCTTGATAAAGAAATTAAAAAAGAGGATTTAATCTTTAAAATTGCAATTTAAATTTGGCCTATATCAATCTTTAGTTCTATTTTGTTGGGGATGCGTTAGTTCAAGTATCTGTGAACTTAATCTAGAGCTGATGTGATATAATTATTTACTAGCATGTGAGGATGAGCATGATGAAATGTTCTTTGGTTTCTTTGTCTCATTTGCGAATTTGGATTAAGTTGATGAAGCCATAAACATGCCAAGCCTCTTATAAACAGGGAATGATATTTTGTGGGAGAAATTTTCTGTGACAAGGAGGATCAGTAGGTAGCTATTTGATTATCGTGACTTAGAGATTGTTCAAGGGGGTTCCTACCTCTCTGCTTCTCATTTAATCTGTGTGCAGCATCAAAAGCCAACTTATAAAAGCCAAAAATTATGCTGCAAGTAAAAGTTGTCCCCTTCCGAATTTAGATTTTGATCGAAATCCAAGACCCAAGAAGGGTATTAAAAACATTTTGTAGATTCCTTTTGATCTAAAAGAAGGATGACTAAAGAACAAAATAAGGCTTTTCACCCCTCCTCTCTTCCAAGACCATTCGAAAAAGTAAAGCAACAGAGACTAAACTGCAAATAGAGGATGGAACCGTTAAATGCCTGAAAGGGATGAGAAGCAAATTTGTTACAGGGAAAATGTGGTTGCAGAGGAAAAAAGTTATTTGTACTTCTTAAGCTTGTGGTGTAGTTTTGGATAATACTTTTAGCCAGTGCTGTGCGACTGCAGTGTTTGGCAGTGCCAGCTGAAAAAAGTTTCCTATACCGGTTTACTACTTGATATGCGTATGAGATGAACACCTTAATTGGCTTGGCATGTGCTCCTTGTTTAGATGTTACATTTGGAAGAATGCAAAACAAAAGTAGAATCTTGGTCAATATTCATAGCGGTGAGTAGCTTAGCAGTATAAAAAAACTTGCTTCCTAATACCTAGGTCACCTCGGCATTCCCTTCTTTTCACTCCCTCTTTTTTGCTGCTGATCTTATATTTGTTGCTTCAAAGGGTCTTACTGTTAAGGAAACTATAATGCTTCAGGTGTCTCCCAAGGAGACAATAATATGCCCGGCCAATCATATCAGGGATGGCAACCGACTAACCAGGCTGCAAATGCAAACTCTCAAACCCACCAAGAGCAAAAAAATGCAGAACATCAAGAACAGATTTTGGCACAGATGCAACCGCAGCAACATGAATCTCTTGCTGATCCCCAACAAAATAACAACTTGGAGGAAGTCAATCAACTGCAGTTGAAGCAGAAACAAGTGCAAGATGGTCATCAACTCGGGCAAGGAGAACAAAATTCTATCCAGATCATGCAATCTTCTGGGATGCAAGTGTCAGAGAAGAATTCCGTCTCTATGAGTGAGCCAGGTAGAGTGCATACTCTTGACAGTGAATCTCAGTACTTAAAGTTACAGCAAATGAGCAATCAACAGGCAACGGTCCCCGAGCAACCACCAAATAGGCCAAACCGTGTTAAACAAGTGCCATTTGCATTGTTGCTCCCTGTGATTCTTCCCCAGCTTGATAAAGATAGAGCCATGCAACTGCAAACCCTTTATGCCAAATTGAAGGTGAGTCTTTGGTAAAGCTCTTTCTGATTTTTACTTTTTAAGGGCAATTTAATGAGGTTTGTTAGTTGCTTGCTTGGTCTCACTGCTATAGAAAAATGATATTCCCAAGGAAGGGTTTGTTCGGATCATGAGAGGAATTGTTGGAGATCAGATGCTGAAGTTGGCACTTACGAAAATGCAAACACAGGTATGTTTAGCACGATTGATGTCGTACACAGGATTATGAATGCCACGTTGTTACTAAGCTCCGTAGTCTCTTGCTTGCAGCCTCCCCCTCAGTTGCATATTCAAGGTTTGACTTCAGCTCCACAGCAACACCCTAGAACGCAGCCTGCTAGCGCTGCAAAGTTCAGTGATTTGTCTCTGCCGGGCCAAGTCCATTCTGCAATGATTAGAAATGGTCCAAAGTCTGGAGAGGTGGAACAGATACTAGAGTCTCGATTAGTGCAGCAGCAGCCGCAGCAGCATTTTCAGAACATGCAGACATTTCCTAAGTATGGAAGTCCTGGTGGTTATCATCCATTCAGCGGGACGAATGTAAACAGTGCTGCTTCATCTGTCAAAACAGAACCTAATGATTTACAAATGAAGCAGGTTCCGATTCATCAAAGTTTGGGTTCAATTCAGCCAGGAGGGGCAGCTCAGACAATTAGCCTGGTGACTGCACCAAAATTTGATCGGCAGCATCCTAACAATGATAACAAGAGAGGGCAATCTTCTGCTCTCCCACCATTTGCAAGTAATGTATCACTCCAACAAAATTCGGTCCCTTGGAAATCGTCTACTGCTAAAGACCAAAGTTCGGGTGCCGTCTCATCAGCAGCCTTTGTAAAACAGGAACCTGTTGATCATTCTAGCAATCAACAAAAAACACAGTTGTCTTCCCTTCACAGATCGTCCTCTGTTTCAGCTGGACATCTTGAGCAAAGAGTTCCCATATTAGAAACCTCAAGGGACAATTCACTTGAACAGCAGTCCCCAGGAACCAGTTTCTTGGCTCCTACTAATACTACTGGGACTTTGCATCAGGGTTCTCTCGCCACAACACCAGCTCAGGATTCTAATATCCAGGTGGTCCTTTAAGTTCAACCATGCTTGTATCTTGCAATTTGATCCAGTTAATTTCCTTGAACGCATTTATTTCCTTTGTATGCATATGGGAATATAAAATCCCGATAGCAACCTCTGGATTAAACAATTAATCACATAGGCAAAGATGTAAATGAACTGTCCTTAGGGTCTGTTTAGGTTTTGTTTTACTGTTGGGAGGTTTATCTCTGTGTTTCTTAAATGCCATGGCTTGGAGACATTTGTTGGGAGGTTTATCTCTATGCTTTAGGTGGTAAAACTATTTGATAGCCATTCCTCTTCATTTGCTTGATTGAAGAGGTATGAAAATACTCTTTATCACTAGGCAGCAAAACTGCAGCTAACGGACTTTATACTGGGCTGGGCTTCTATCATGAAGCATAAAAAGTTAATGAGGTAAAAACTTTGGAAGGATGACATGTTACGAGAGCATATTTACTAGTTAAATATGATCCTTTGACTCAGGAAAGGAATTCTCTAGTGACATTGTCACTAGGGTTGATAGCTATTGTATTATTTGTTGGACACGACGTTGCATCTACAACTGCGAATATAGAGGAGATGCTTAGTGCACAAACTTCTGCTCTCATTTATCCTGAGTACAATTTTTAGACTGATTGGAATAATTCGCATTATTTGCATTATCTCTTTACTGGAGTAGTGATATTGTAGAAATTTACTTTTCAATCATTGTTTTGTCATTCGTTTTGCTCTATGTTTTGAAACAAGAACTGGTGGTTCTTTTTGGGATAATTAGTATAAAAGTTCATTCCTTGATGATATCAGACAAAGTTTTGACAGCAAGTATGTCCTTTCTAAAAGATGTTATTCGCCTTGAATATATCAGCTAGGCTCCCGAACAGCATCCACACCAGCTGGGAATAATGCAAGGACACCTAAAAAAACTTCTGTTGGCCAGAAGAAGCCTCTCGAAACACTTGGTTCTTCGCCTCCTCCCTCAAGGTGATCTGGCTTCAAATCTATACCCATCTTGAGCAATTGAGTATGAAATTTCACTTTTGATAGTAACATTTGTCAATTTAATGTGTTGTCTACTGAATCTGTACAGTAAGAAGCAAAAGGTATCTGGGACCTTTGCAGATCAAAGCATTGAACAACTCATTGATGTCACTGCTGTTAGTGGGGTCAATCTCAGGGTACGAATTGACATCACAATTCTGTATAGTTTATCCTATCAACTAATTATTAACTTTCTAGTAATTTGGCTTTTTTATCCTTGAAAATGTGATCGGAACCAGGAAGAGGAAGAACAGTTGTTTTCTGGGCCTAAGGATGACAGTCGAGTCTCAGAAGCATCCCGAAGAGTTGTCCAAGAGGAAGAAGAAACTCTGATATTGCAGCGAGCTCCCTTGCAGAAAAAATTGGTGGAGATCAGTTAATTCCTCTCTTCCGTCTTCATCTCTGAAATTTTGTGTTTCTCTCTATTATGACCCAGTACTCTTTGGTAAAGATATTTGACTCTATGCTTGTGCCAGTGGCCCAATGTGGGGTGAAGAATATAGGCAATGACGTAGAGCGGTGTCTGTCTATGGTGAGATGCTAGCTTCTCTGCTCTTTAATGTTCCCTGTTTAGTGTTTTTTTTTTTTGAGCCAATCCTGTTTAGTGTCTTAACCAACTCATTTTCCAGATTGTGGAGGAGAGGTTGCGCAGCCTACTGTGCAATTTAATTAGAGTTTCAAAGCAGGTGAGTCTTTTTCACCCTTCCACTAACTTGATTCAAATATATTAGTCTTTCCTAATTAAGTTATTTTGGATTAGAGGGTTGATGTCGAGAGGTCCAGACATCAGACCATTGTCACTTCAGATGTCCGGCAGCACCTTATGATTTTGAACCGCAGAGCTAAGGAAGAATGGGAGAAGAAACAGGCTGAAGCAGAAAAGCTAAGGAAACAAAGCGAGGCAAGTTTTTGCCATTTATGCTATTCACCTAGCTGACATGACTTCTACCACTAAGAAACCTATGCTGGAGTATGGTGTTTACAGATTCAACAATTATGACTTATGCTGGAGTATGGTGTTTACAGATTCAACAAATATGTCTTTGTAGATAAATATGTTTGCAACAGTCAATCTCTTTCCCTCTTTTCTTCACCTCCCTTTCTGGTTATGCCTAATGCTTACTAGTGTACATTATTGCAGCCTGAGAGCAGTCCAGGAGTTGATGGTGATAAAGAAAAGGACGAAGGTCGTGGAAAATCCGTGAAGGTATATTGGATTTCTTTTTGGGTGCAATGGCTTGGCTACCTGAGGCCTCCCTTCCCTTGAAATCTCCTAGCTATAGTGGTTGAAATGAGGATTGAATTCCAATGTTCATCAACCTAGTGATTATACTTAGCTAAGCTTACTCACATCACGCCTTCTCATGGATCCGGCCTGATAATATTTCATTCTTTTTCGTCTATACTTAGGCAAACAAAGAGGAAGACGACAAGATGAGGACAACTGCTGCAAATGTTGCTGCCCGAGCTGCTGTGGGAGGAGATGACATGTTATCCAAGTGGCAGCTTATGGCTGAACAAGCCCGTAAAAAACGTGAGGGAGGATTGGAGGCAGCATCTCAGGTCGGTAAAGATAGCCGAAAATCTTCAATTTCTGGAAGAAGTAATAAGGACAATCAAGAAGCAGGAAGAAGGGGACAGACTGCATCTGGTATGTCATAGAATCATTGCTAATTTGATGTGTTGGAGTTCTGGTTTTGATAGCATAAACAGTGGCTGAAAATGATTCTTCATTGTAAAATCTAATGCTGGACAAAGAGCAAGCACTTGTTTCAACAAACTAACCGTGCGAAAAATCAATGTGTTTGGGTGTTATTGTAATCTCCCAATATCTGATGTGGTGCCTCGTCCCAATCAGTCCTCTTAACCAGTTTTTGTGCTTTACAGGGACCATTAGAAGATTAGGAAGGAACCAAGCTATTGCATCACAACCGAAGGTAGCTCGAACAATTTCTGTCAAGGATGTGATTGCTGTTCTGGAAAGGGAACCTCAGATGGCGAAGTCTAGTCTCATCTACCGCCTTTACAATAAAGTTCGTTCTGAAACTAGTGCTGAATAATTGAAGTGGCAATGTTGGTCTCAGCTTTTTAAATTCCTAATCCGGCTACTCTTTCAAATCATTCAATGAAGTGCAAAAAGCTGTTGATCCAGATCGAGTCTCACCACCGTACTCATTCTTGATGGGGAAAACAATTATCCTTTTATGGTTGCGGTAGACACTAATCTTAGTTCATCCTCTTTGAATTTAGGGATGTCTAGTGCATTTTCCTGGTATATCATCTGTATCATAGCTTTTCTTCTTTTGATTTTGCATGTATTTTGCAGCAATCCCTCTGCTGCAATTTTTTTTTTTTGCAGTAGTTGGGTTTCCTCAGTACATATCTGGTATTAGGATTTCTCATTGTCGATATGCAGTAACATTTCTTGTGATTGAATTGTTGGGAATTTAGGTGAATGAGAAGGTTTTCTATATGCATATTTTGGAGGCCACATCAACTCATTAAAGGAATGTTGTCAAATAAAATCACTGGCTTTTTTCTTCCTCAGAATTTCATCAGTTGGACTCTCATGTTCCTGGTCAATTTGCATTTGCATCTTTTTGTATGCAAAACGTTTGAGTTATTAGGTGAATTAGACTCTAAGGTCACAGGCAGATGAATTGCACAGCATGTTCCATGAGTCCAGTGACTTTGAGATGATGGAGGCATGTCTACATATTCCTTTGTCTTTTACATTTACCAATGTGAGCTCTCACCATGATTTCCAAAGGTGCTACCGGCTGCAAAGCATTCTCTAATAAGATCATCACGACCATCTATTAGAGTTCGACATGTTCATGGTATTGTCAAGATAGCATGCTAGTACTGTTAAAGATTAGTAAGGATTACATTGTATGATAGATGTGTCTGCCCCCAATTGCGATGAAGGACATAGCAGTAGACTACCATAGGGAGAAGACGAAATAGATGCTGGACAACAGTAACAGTCGTCCTTATTTCTCCGCTAAAGGTAAAAATCTTAGTGAATCAGTAGTTTTTGCCTGGACCCCCGTATGAGCCTCCTCCGTTACCTTCACCGCCCGTTCCATATCCTCCGTCGTGCCCGAAACCTCCGCCTGAACCTCCTCCTCCTCCACTGATTCCGCCGATGCCTCTGCCGCTTCCATATCCCGAGCCATAGCCTGATCCATACCCACTTCCCCCACCAGGGCCACCACAACTAGATCCTCCCCCTAAGCCACCGCCGCCTCCGCCACCAGACCCATACTCGCCAGATGATCCTCCTCCATACCCGCCTCCACTTGCGCCCCCGGAACCATATCCACCACCTTGACCGCCATTATTGTAGCCAGATCCTCCGCCACCTCCGAAGCCACCTCCACCAATGCCACCCCCCCAACACCCTGTTCCACTTCCATCACCGTAGCCACCGTCCGTACCATGACCTGACTCATAACCTCCACCTCCCTTGCCTATTCCCCCGCCACCACCAAAACTGCCGCCACCTCCACCTCCTAACCCACCAGTCGGCACTGCTCCGTAGGCAGCTTCTTCCTGATCCTGATTCCTCCTTTGCAATTCTTTGGCCGTATCATAATCGTTGCCTTTGCTCAGAAACCTCTTCCCTCTACTACCTTCCGCTACTAGAAACCAAATGAGGATGAAACTCCATGCAACCCCATACTGCTTTTCCATGACACCCTCTCGTTTATGATGCAAACTTCACAATCCAAATTAACACAAAAGATGTAATTTATAGCCAACCTTAACAAACCCTTTATATGTTTTTTTTTATCAGGATAAATAACAAAAAAAAGAGCAGCAGGAAACAACTAGTGGACAAAAAGATATCGAAACTTCTGTCCTCACCTATAAATTCGCCAGTCTCTCGCCTCTCTCTGTCGTCTTTGGTGTGCTAGTTAATATTTTTTTTTTTGGTCGAAGGTGTGCTAGTTCATAGAGCATCGATATTCTTAAAAGGCACGCTGAAAAAAAGCAGAGTGTGAGAGTTTGAAGGACCACGAACATGTAGCTCGTGCATGCAAGACTTTGCTTAAAATGGATGTGGGGGAGATACTGGTCGTCCTCGTGCACATATATACATGAGGGAGGTCCTCTTTCGTAGCTTGGGGAGATATAAACAAGTAGTAGCTGTAGGACAGAGTGGAGTGAGTGGATGGGCCATGCATTGTGCAGGGGGGGTGTCTGCCTTCTGGGAGCTAAACGCGTGCCGGATGAGTCTGGTGGCGAAAGCAATTCGCATGACAATAAAGGTGCGAATCGAGGGGAAAAGTGCCAAAAAAGTCCTAAACCTTCTGCATTAGTGCCAATTTAGTCCTAAACCTTTTTTTTGTGCCAATTTAGTCCTAAACCTTTTGCATTGGTGCCAATTTAGTCCTAAACCTTTTTTTGGTACCAATTCAGTCCTAAACCTTTTAAATTGGTGCCAATTCAGTCCTAAACCTTTTGTTTTTGTGCCAATTTAGTCCTTCCGGTCAATTTTGATCGGAATTTGCCGACGTGGACGCCTGCCGGCCGGCGGCCAGTCACCGGCGCTGACGTGACGCCAACGTGGACAACTTTAATATTATTTTAATATTTTTTTGAATTTTTATTTTTTTTCCTTTTTTTTCTTTTTTTTTCCACTTTTTTTTTTTGGTCTCTCCCTCCTCCCTCTAGCCGGCCGCCGGTCCGGCAACCGGCCAGAGGCCAGAGGCCGGCGAGCTCGACCTCGCCGGCCACCGGCGAGGGCGGCCTCGCCCGGCGAGGCCGGCCTCGCCTTGGTCGGGCGAGGCTCGACCTCCCCGAGATCCGGCGAGGTCGGGCCTTGCCCGACCATGGCGAGGCTCGAGCCCTCGCCGGAGGCCGCGGCGAGGGCGAGCCTCGCCATGGTCGGGCAAGGCCCGACCTCGCCGGATCTGGCGAGGTCGAGCCTCGCCCGACTAAGGCAAGGCTCAAGCCCTCGCCGGAGGCCGTGGCGAGGGCGAGCCTCGCCATGGTCGGGCGAGGCCCGACCTCGCCGAATCCGCCCAAGTCGACCTCGCCGGATCCGGCGAGGTCGGGCCTCGCCCGACCATGGCGAGGCTCGCCCTCGCCGCGGCTCGCCCTCGCCGCGGCCTCCGGCGAGGGCTCAAGCCTCGCCTTGGTCGGGCGAGGCTCGACCTCGCCGGATCCGGGAGGTCGAGCCTCGCCCGACCATGGCGAGGCTCGCCCGAGCCGCGGCCTCCGGCGAGGGCTCGAGCCTCGCCCGACCAAGGCGAGGCCCGCCCTCGCCCGGGCGAGGCCGCCCTCGCCAGTGGCCGGTGAGGTCGAGCTCGCCGGCCTCTGGCCGGTCGCCGGACTGGCGACCGGCCAGAGGGAGGAGGGAGAGACAAAAAAAAAAGTGGAAAAAAAAGAAAAAAAGGAAAAAAAAATAAAAATTCAAAAAAAATATTAAAATAATATTAAAGTTGTCAACGTCAGCGCCGGTGACCGGCCGGCAGGCATCCACGTAGGCAAAATCCGGTCAAAATTGATCAGAAGGACTAAATTGGCACAAAAACAAAAGGTTTAGGACTGAATTGGCACCAATTTAAAAGGTTTAGGACTGAATTGGCATCAAAAAAAGGTTTAGGACTAAATTGGCACCAATGCAAAAGGTTTAGGACTGAATTGGCACCAAAAAAAGGTTTAGGACTAAATTGGCACTAATGCAAAAGGTTTAGGACTTTTTTGGCACTTTTCCCGCGAATCGAGTGATCTCTGTGTGTATGGAGGAAACGGAATGCAACTAAGAAGAGATGATATGAATACATGATTGCGTTAATGGTACGTTTAATTCACGAAACAAGATAAGAAAGGGGTAGAACCATATATTCCTAACGAGGATCGACGTGATTGGTTTCGATGTTAGTTTGTATTGCAACAGGCCTTATATGCAGAATAGCCATTTCTCGAAAAGTTTTGAACTGAACAGAGGAATACATGTGTCCTTGCTTGGGAAATGCCTCATATTCGTGTGTTCTAGAAGCTTAATCTGCTAGATGAAAACGTGATTTAATATTTGAATGTTCCAACAAAATGGACTAGTACTAGTGATAAGCACATGGAGTTCTATGCTTCTCTTTGAGACAAATTTGTGTTGCTAGTTCGCACTAAGACATGAACATGTGGATGTGTTCGCAATGCAATGAGAATGATGTAGTGTGTAGCGGTTAATTTAACATTGTAAGTCAAAAACTCATTGATTTAAAGTTTTGAATGAAAGCAAGTTTAGTCAGATTTATTGACGGGCTCGAATTTGGGCTCCTTATTAGTGATTTCCCAAGATAAAAGTATTAAATTTCAGTTGTGCATCCCAACATATCTGTATATCGGTAAATGAATATTTCTTGCACATTATTGCGCCACTTGACTCCGTCATGTGCGAACTTTACCTATTAAATTCTTTTTCACTGTTACTTTAGCCAATTCTACTAAGGTAGCTAGAATAACTATATATGTAGCTGATGAATATTCTATTTCGCATATATAATTGATTGAGATACTAAAAGATTGTGATCATTTAAAAGATAATATGTAGGGCAACAAAAGGATGTATTCCAGCATTTTCACCCTTCGAGTGAAGTTTACAAACGGGAGTTTGAAGAATATTTTCCTGTAAAATAAGTGCAATATTTTACTTTATGTATTTGCATCTATGAGTGAGATAAAATCTATGCAAGACAGAAATTTTTTTGATAAAGCATTGAGAGTATGGAAATTCTATAAAAACACTAACAAGATGTGCCACTGTAGAAAGGCCCGGGTGTCCACCAGCCCTACCCGGAGCTCGAGGTCTACTTTCGCCACATGTCATTTTATGATTGGTCTGTCCAACCTTACTAATTATATTTATTATTATTAATGATTATACATACACACACACACATATATATATATATATAAGTATATTAAATTTGCAAATATAAATTCATAACAATACAAATGATTCTTGAACTTTGGCCCAGTGTGTAATGTAGTCTCTGAATTTTTAATTTGTTCAATGAGATCCCTGAAGTTTCAATTTCTTTAATATGGTCCTTAGACTTTTAGTATATGTTCAACTTAGATTTTGAATTATATGAAAATTTTCAATATTGTCCTTCCATTAATTTGAGTTCAGGGACAATATTAAACATTTTCATATAGTTCATAGACTAAATTGAATATATACCAAAAGTTTAGGGACCATATTGAATAGATTAAAAGTTCAAGGATCACATTGCACATTAGGTTACAGTTCAGTGACCATATTTAATAAATTAAAAGTATAGTGATCACTTTACACGTTAAACCAAAGTTTAAGGACTATTTGCATCTTTTTTTTAAAACATAAAAGAAAGAGAGAGGTGGCCTAGCTAGAGATGGGCCACTTTTATAAAGTGGACTCCGCCAGTTTGAATCCTTCGACCTCCATGTCCATTTTCTTTTTTTAACTTTAGCCTCCAGCCCTTTTTCCCTTTTATTCGTTTTTCATTTTCTTTTTCCAAATTAATTATTTTTCTTTTCCTTTTCTCTCAACAAACATAAGATTATGCACTATTTCCTTTCTTTTTCTTATTTTTTGTTTCCTCTGTATTTTATTTTATTTAATCTATTCAAAGAAAAATTTATCTTTCTTTTTCTTTGTTTGTCAACCTATCTTTTGAGAATAGGATTGTACTTTAGTTACACATTTCCAAACCAAGGCTGCGCATGGCAACCATTTTGTGCCCGGGAACAGATTCTGGTCAGAAATGATTCTTTTTGATTCTGTGCCTGGGAACTAATTCTGAGCATTTGAAGGCGTTTGGTAACGACCCAAAATTTTTATTCCTGAAATAGTAAAAAAACAAAAATGCGTTTGGTAACGGCATAAAATTTCTTTTTATTAATAATATTTTAATAATATTTTAAATATTTAAATATTTCTTTCCTTTCTTTTTTTCTTCTCCTCCTTCTTGGCCATGGCCGGTAAAATATTTTTTAATTGATAATACTTTTATTAAAAATAATTTTTTTTATTTTTTTTGGCCATGGCCGGTAAAAAATTTCTTTATTAATAATACTTTTATTAAAAAATAAATTTTTTATTATTTTTGGCCATGGCCGGTAAATTTTTTTTTATTAATAATATTTTTTTCTTTTTTTTGGCCATGGCCGGTAAAATATTTTTTTTATTAATAATATTTTTTATTAAAATATTTTAATTGAAAATATTTTTTTTATTTTTTTTGCCATGGCCTGGTCGCCGGCCATGGCCGGTAAAATATTTTTTTTATTAACAATATTTTTTTCCTTTTTTTTTTGCCATGGCCTGGTCGCCGGCCATGGCCGATAAAATATTTTTTTATTAATAATATTTTTTTATGGCCTAGTCGCTGGCCATGGCTGGTAAAATAATTTTTTTTTGTTCATGGCCGGTAAAATATTTTATTATTAATAATAATTTTTTATTAAAATATTTTAATCTCGCCAGATACAGTGAGGGTGGCCCTCGCGCCGGACATTAGAAGCTACATTAAAAACCAAGAAAAAGAAGAAGAAAAAAAAATGATTCTCATTTTTGTTCCCAGAATCAAGAAGCTACTTTTTTTTATTCTTGATTCTGCTCCAAAACTGATTCTAGGCACAAATTTACAAGAATTTGTGCCCAGAATCAAAAAATTTAACAAATGGATTTCTGGTCCAAAACTGATTCTGGGAACAAAAGAACAGAAATTTTCACTATTTGGCCAATTGCTAAACAGGCCCCAAATGACCCATGTATTTTTCATGAGTTTACGTTTTCTTTTCTTTTAATATTTTATTTTGTTGATAGACCTTTAAAAATATTTTGCAATTAACTCAAAATATGAAATTTTTGTTTCATCTTTCTTGAATCTATTAATCATTCGAAAATTAAATGTAGACTAACAAAAAAGAGTACTTCAAAGTTATTGTCAAATGATATAACTAATATCAATAGTCTTACCCTAACTAATCTCACGAACGTGTGAAAAATGGGCCACCACTTATTGTGCCACGTGTCAATCTTTTATTTGTGAGCACTGTTAAAATTGAGTTTGTATGTGTGATCTTTTTTTATATTTCTTGTTTAATTGCGAAGATGAGGCTCAT